TTAACTTTCCAACGTCCTCCGAGACAATCACACAAGGGTATTGGACTGTTCACAGACAATGTGCTAATCAGAGTGTACTTCTGGACGTTTAAAGGAGAGAATCTTTGTAATGTTTGTTGTTTGGACATTGTATACCAAACAAATGTCTTCCAGAGACATAAGATAAACTTCAATGTCATCGATTTTATCCTTTAGGGATAAGGTTGATCCTGCCAGCAGGGTTTCTAGTTGCTCAGTGAAAGCCTGGATCCACATCTCTTTGCTGTTGTCACCTTCTGATTCAGTGATAGAAATTTTTGCTGAAGCCTGCAGTTTGATATCTCTTGATCTTTGACGTGTACCACAGTTTTCACACTTCAGTGTGGTGCAAGTGAATGATTCAACATCATTTAAGCGTTTTTTGCACACTTTGCAGGAACAAAAGATGTTTAGCTTTGACACCAAATTGAATTCTGAAGCAGTTACTTCCTTTTCTGGACTTTTGAGCATATCTGGTCCAGTCAGGGTTTGCACTGTTTGTGTTGTAAGGTTTGCTGTTGTGTTTGGCGATGTACTTAGATACGTCGACCCTTGGAAATTCTTTACTGTCAGGTTGGTGAAGCAGTATGATTTACCCGTTGTCAAGGTATGGACAAGGGGTTCCCAAATGTGAATCATTGATGACCCAGTGTTGTCCTCCAACACGCAATCTTCCTTCACATGGGCTGTTGCTCCAGTGGATCTGAGAACAACAGCCTTGAGGTCTTCTTTTCCCATAGTGAGGGAACCACTGACATTGACTTTTTGGTTTGGGTGCAAACCTTTTACATTCGACACAGTAACTGACTTTGCAGCACTTGATTCACCTGCACTTTCAAGCTTTGGCTGCTCGGTGTAACAAAATGATACATCTGACAAGCCTGCTTTATGTACGGCAGATTGTTGATTGAAAATACATTCATTGTCGTCTTTTACAATAATGTTCTTGAGCTGTACTGGGCTCTTGGTTTCCTCAAAATGTTTTAAGGAATCATGGACATAGAGATTAAATCCTACCAAACGTTTCACTTTAGTGGGTGAAGTTTGAAGCTGAAATTCATACCACTGATGCTTTGACTTAAGGGACTTCTTAATTGGACTGAGGTTGTGAATAAACCCATGGTCGTTTGCTGCAAGTAAACAATTAAGATGGTTAGAATATGCATAAGAGAATTATGTTTGATTGGCATGGTAATGTCAAATAATTTGGGGGGTTGGATATTTCAAGAAAATGACACATTGCAGGTAAAGCTTGAAATATAAAGGAGTCAGCATGTACTCATTATTATGAGTGAACAACAATAACCAAGAACAAAATTGCCTCTACCTTTCACAGATACAGTAGTCAGGTGCTAGGGGCTGAGTTGCTGCAAAATAACAGGGACACCAGTTGTCCCTGTTTAGTCTTAGACTACTTAAAGGGGCATGAATTCTGTATTTATAAGATAAAATAATTATATTCAGTACTTACAATAAGTCCTTTTGCTTGCCATCGTCTGCAACAAAAAATGTTTTACAAATTAAAAATACATCACACATAGATACATATTTTATTGACTTTCCTCCAGAGGCTTTTCAAAGACAATAATTAAATCAAGTCAAACAAAGAAAAACAGGGGAACACAATAATTGGTATTTGGATGTCTTGTTTAGCTTTTGGAGAACATGCTTACTGTATTAAGTCAAAGTTACTCATGATGACCATTTTTAGAAGCATTTAGAGATAAAGAATCAAGTCTCTTTTCTTCAATTAACCTATATTTCAAAAAATTTGATTTTTTGTAAGCTTGCAACCTTTCAAATGTCATTGGCTCAATTATGAGATCTTGGAGTCTTTTTACTCTACTAAGAGCCACATATGTCATACCAGGTGAATTCTCTGAAGGGCCGAGATCTATCCATGCTTTTTTAAGAGTCAGACCTTGGCTTTTGTGAATAGTCATAGCCCATGCTAGCTTTAAAGGAAGTTGTTGTCTTTCACATGTGTGACCTATGTTTTGTGAAATTTGGGTTATTGGACAAATTGGAACGCATCTTGGAACACTTGCAGTTAAAGAAGGTCCATTATATTGTTCATCAAACTGTACAAGAACACAAATAGGCAGGGCTGGAGGAGTTTGCCCATCAGCATATACAAAATCTAATACAGTTCCTAGTGCACCATTACAAAGACCAACTTCTGTCCACATGTTCATAGTGAGCATAACTCTAGCACCTTTAGCTAAATATATGACAGGTTCTAATCCTCCCATTTCATCAGAGCTAAGTGTTTGAGCACCACCAGAATGACGGGCTTTGATTGTTGCTATTGGCTGGTTTAGATTTTTTAATTTGATCAAGTTCATTTCTGCAACTTTTGCCTTCAGATAGGATAGCCTTACAGATGATGTTAGGAATTCTTCAATATTTGTTACATTTTCAGGAGTTCTAGATAACAATGTCTGCCAATCTGCGAAAGTGGATTCTCCATTTCGTGCTCTAATGAGGAGATCTCTAAAGCAGCTGTGGGCATTAGTTTTGCCATCAACTCTATGATTCACTGACAATGTGACGACTTGTTTGAACTCTTTATATATGAGGTGACCCTGAATCTGTTTTTCTGATTTTGGCAAAGAATGGAAAAGTGGTTTATCACCAACTGGGGATAACTGTGCTATATCACCGACCAGAATAACAGAAAGACCACCAAAAGCTTGATCAGCTAAACCTGTAGCTTGCCTGCATCTACAATCTATCCACCCAAATAAGCTCTGGCCAACAAATGAATATTCGTCTATAATCAAATACTGAATGTTTTGTAAATTAGTTTGAAGTTGTTGCAAAGCTATTCCTTTCAATTTGAAGAGTCTTTTTGAACCAATTGGTAGTTTGAGGAAAGAATGCAGTGTTACACCCTTGACATTAAAAGAGGCCTTTCCAGTATATGCTAGTACTTGACATTTTTCCTTAAGAACATTTCTTACAGCATCAATAACATAGCTTTTTCCTGAACCTGCAATTCCTTTAACAAGTAGATGCAAAGGCAGTTCATTACTGCTGTTGAAGTGATTTAGAATGATATGGTATGCCAACAATTGATCGCTACTAAAACTTGAAATATCTATTACTCTTGATGATATGTGCCAACTTGGTTCATTTTTATTTTTCTGAGTATTTAACCAAGAAGTAACAGAAAGTAGATCAACATCGTCAAAATGTTCACTAACATTGTGCCAATATCCTTCAGGAGCTAACGTCGAGTTATATTCAGTATCTGTGCTCAACTCCTGTAAATTCAGTTCTGACATAAACATCCACTCTTCCTTTTCTTCCTCTATAATTTCCATGTTTTCATTTTCATTTTCCAGATTAATGGCTGCTTTTAAGCTGCTCAATTGCAATTCCCAGTCAGGAACACTGTTCTTCCCACAATCACTACACAAAAAGTTCATCCAACATGCTTTATAAGTTTCATCACACTGTTCAAGATTGTCCCATGCATTGTCTGCTACATGTTGCCAAGGTTTATATTTTAGCAGTTGATATTTACAGAACAGCCCATACTGCTGATTTTGAGGATTTGAAGAAAATTTGGGATAAGTTTTAACTATTACAGCTTGCTTCCTTTTCTCCAGTTTTGAGTTTTTGCTTACAAATGTGGAGGTAAATTGCAAAAAATTATATGTCAGTATGTCTGGAAATGTCTTAATAAACTTCTCTCGTTCAGCATAAATATCCAACATGGATGGGATTGTACAAAAATCCTTATTTTTGGACACCTGTACTCTTCGTGAACCAT